GAGCAAGCATCACCTACCGGATGTTGCGTGCTTCTATAGCTGAAACTTGGCAGCCACAAACATGCCATGAAAGCAGAGAACATGACCCATATTCTTTTCTATACTTTGCTTTTCACTGTGAAACAGAACGCATGCCAGGAGACAGGAACCAGCTGACAACGTTGATTGTCCTCTATTTGTTTTTCTTCTCTAGTCACATTTGATTTCGCGAGTGTCCATGAGATCACGTGTCACTGTGAAATCGTTCCTACAATCAACAAGTGTGTGGTCTCACGGTCTGGTCGAATCATCTAGTGTGTGCGTTCAGAGGATTATAAGGCTAAAAATCGGTTGAACTGTCTTCATGTCTGTGGTCTCCCATGGTTTTAAAATCGGTTAAGATTTGAAAATCGTCTAGTGTGCAGCCAGCTTAAGTCAGCCACTGGCAATCACATGAGCCAATAGCTCTCTTACAATTGAGTTCTACTATCTAGTCAAACGTCCTTAAACCATTGATACATTGTAAAATTGATGCATAGAAAAAATTGAAAATATCAGAGAATATTAAAAATGTGATTTCCAGTGCATGAAAAATCATGGATTTAAATAAAACCTGTAAATAATGATTGTTATAGTGAAATTTGGAATAGTTTTGCTCAGTTACGCTCAGCTCTAAAATGTTTCATTTGCATATTGCATTCTTTGTTGTTTTATAAGTAGCCATTATATAGCAGTGGTCAAAAGCTTTCATCTGGCAGAATCCGCAAAATATTAATAATTAAATAAATAAATAAATATGAAGGATCAGAAATTGCATGCTGATTTTTGTTTAGTACTTCCATGAAAACATGATTTTGCACATAACAGACATTGGCATTTTTGTTCTCAAGACATAGGCCTAATAATATATGCATTTACATAAATGAAGCAGTTCCAAAGGTTACATGCGCTTGACTCTCAATACTGTGTGTCAATACCTGGATGATCCACGTTTTTTTTTTTTTTTTTTTTTTTTAGATAGATAGAACCACAGTTGTAGGCTTGAAAATGATCAAAGATGTCTGCTTTCCTGTCCCAAAATTACCTTCAGTAACAAATAGTCCATTTGGAATTCCTGAAGGCACAGAGGTGCTGATTGTGATCAAGGCCTGTAGGCCAACATATGTATGGGGTCTGCTAATTGTCACACCTTTTGTACAGTGGGTGAAGCTGTAATCTGCTGATTGTTCAGTTTGAATGTCTCGCATTTGATTTTTAGTCACATGGTCAAGGAAGGGATAAAAGAAGATGGACCCTTTTCACAAGACAGTGATGATACGTTTAAAGGTCATCAGCATCATAAATCCTCAAAAGTTTTTCATATTTAGAAATGTTTTTAATGTATGTACATTTATTACACTTTGTATTAACCTTATTTGTATTACCTTTGCATCAAAAAAAAAAAAAAAAGTTAACGCTAATCTGAGGGTGCTTCTAATGCAGCATCTATGGGAGTGACGGTAAATTTGACATTGTTCTCTCTTCTGACTGCTGTTATCAGTCTCTCTCATTTTTTTTTTCATTAACAGATGTTTACATATACTCCACAAGACAAAATAATATCTGAATTTATAATGTGAAGGCGTATGTTACCGCAAATCTGCATCCAGGGTTAAGTACATACTAGAGCTCAGGTTAGATGGAGCATGGGGCACATCAGGTGAGATTCTAGATTTCTGACCAACTGCTTGACTTTAGTTAAGTTGTTATTTTTTTTTTTCATTTTTTTGAAAGTCATGAAAACACTGTCGGGTAGTTCTTCTTTTGCTATTTGAGCAATTGGGAACGCAAAATCCGAACTGGCAAATCCGTATTACAGTCACATCTGTTTCAGTGCTCTAACACGGATAAAGCCCAGCTTGGGATTCAGAGGGTGAGAACAAGAGTCGCAAAGCGGATCCGGGCCATATCTGTGGAAAAGATACCAAGGTAAGTCACACCATGTGATCAAACTCTTCTATTAATACATTAATTTCTTGTTATGTTGTGTACTCATTAACTTAAAGGTTTGGTGTTTTTATTGCTCTTTAGATCGGTGTTGGATTGTAATGTTACTTAGTGAACTCTTATGTTATCAGAGGACTTGCTAACATGAAGAAGACGTTTCAGAGGTCTGTAATTATATGTAATTAACAAATTTTAACTGCTTCTATTAATGTTTAAGTGATGGGCTAACATAAATGTTAACGTTTAATTGCTAGCTAAAGCAGGGCTGCCAACTTTTGAGTTTAACTTGGAGTGAGAATTGCCACAGCGCATGGGGCACATCAGGTGAGATACTAGATTTCTGACTAACTGCTTGACTTTAGTTAAGTTGTTATGCAGTTGCATTAACTATGGGGGGCTAGACAAAATACTATTGGAGGGCTAGCATGGTTCGGCGATACTTCATAGTACTAGCCATAACCTCTGGTTATTGTTTCAGCTTTATTCAAGTTGTACGTAGTTATATTAATTATTGTGGGCTAGATAAATAGTAATAGCATAACCTCTGATTATTGTTTGAGCTTTATTCAAGTTGTCCATATTTATTTCTAACTATTGGGGGTTAGATAAAAATACTACTAAAATACTAACATATTTTATATTATTAGCATAACCTCTGATTATTGTCTCAGGTTTAGTTAAAGGGGTCATATGATGTTGCTTTGTATCAGTTCAAAGAGAAAGGAAAAATTGAAATCGCATAATATGAGCCCTTTAAGTTGTACGTAGTTATATAACTAGATATTAGATAAATAGTACTAGCATAACCTCTGTGTCATTGTTATGTTCTGTTTTGGTTCTGTTTCTGCCTCCACATTTCCCTGAGTCCCCTTGTCTATTAGTTTCCATGGTTTTTGATTAATTTGCTCATTAGTCATTATTAGTTAACTCCCTTCACCTGTTTTCCCCTCGTCAGCTGCCCTACTTAGTCTTCTTTCTGTTCAGTAGTTTGTCGGTTATTGTTTCACGTTTGATGTTATGACTACCCTGAGCTGTTTCCTTGCCTGAGTTTATGTGGATTATAATATTAAAGACTTTTCATTGTGGATTATCCTTCATCTTCTGCGCCTTCATTGGAGATACTGTAACACTGAATATGGTTTGAGCTTTAACTAAGTTGTTACATGGGTGACTGTAGGGGGATAAAGAGAACCACTATTTAAAAAATGGTAAGTATGGGCGACCTCTTAAATAGTTAGTCATAACCTCTGACTAATGATCAGACTGGCAAGTTTGTGATCGTTGGGTTCACGTAAAAACTGCTAACATGAGACACCCTGAGTGACATAGATTCCTAATGAACAAGTCAATATAAAGTAAAGAGTTAAATAGAATAATCAAATGTCAGAATAATAACAATTAGAAATGGACAAACAACCAATTTGCATTTCAACCTAAATTCAAGGTCATAATAAAATGGAGTCAGATTACAATTGAATTTAAATTAAATAACTTTTCGCACTGAAAAGTAAGAATATGCAAGAAACCTTCAGCCACCATTGGATACCTCCATTGGGCCAATTGTGTGAGCCTTACAAAGGTGTGGAGATTACTTTGTGAGTTCCATCATGAGGATCATGTACTCTTTTCTAAGATGGTGTGACTGTTACCTGTCACTATGGCACTTGAGCCATCATCGTATTACAGCTGGACCTTTAATTTGGTCATTTAAAATCGTCAGTTAAGCTCTGTTCATCTCCGTTTTCTTCATATATCAGTCAATTTTGACTTTTTGCCTTTGTTTTGATTTGTGTTAACAACTGTTCATTGCTGTTTGTTTATCAATGTCGATATCGTTCATTTCTCTTAAGGCCAAGGGTCAAAGAAACAATGTGAAGCGCAAAACCCTTTTTTGTTTGTTAAAAACCATGGATCAGACTTTTTTTTTTTAAGACACCCATTCCACACAGGACGATGTAAAATTTTGGAGATCCCAGTGGGACAGTGATGTATATTTCTTCGCAGCCCGGTGAAACATACCAAATTGAAAAACTAACGGAATGCATAGTCAATATAAAAAAACTGGATGACGAGTAATTTCTTACTGCTAAATTCTGAAAAAAAACAGAGGTGTTAATTATCGGACCTAAAAGCTCCGAATGTAATAACCTAGAACCCTGTCTAACACTTGATGGCTGCATTGTCAATTCTTCGTCATCAGTTAGGAACCTAGGTGTGCTATTTGACAGCAATCTTTCCTTTGAAAGCCACGTTTCTAGCATTTGTAAAACTGCATTTTTCCATCTCAAAAATGTATCTAAATTGCAACCTATGCTCTCAATGTCAAATGCAGAAACGTTAATTCATGCATTCATGACCTCAAGGTTAGATTATTGTAACCTTGGGTTTTATTGGGTGGTTGTTCTGCACGCTTAATAAACAAACTCCAGCTGGTCCAAAATGCAGCAACTAGAGTTCTTACTAGAACCAGGAAGTATGACCATATTAGCCCGGTTCTGTCAACACCACACTGGCTCCCTATTAAACATCTTATAGATTTTAAAATATTGCTAATTACTTATAAAGCCCTGAATGGTTTAGCACCTCAGTACTTGAGCGAGCTTTTATCGCATTATAGTCCTCCACATCCGCTGCAGTCTCAAAACTCTGGCAATTTGATAATACCTAGAATATCAAAATCAACTGCTCGTAATCGTCAGCTGTACCGTGGGTCGACATTTCAGCTGTGGCCTGGGTCCCACCTGGCACCGCCTGCTCCAAGTCCTCCTGTCTCCTCACTGGCTCCTCCCTCCTTCATCACCTCCCTGGTCTCTGACTGCCGGCCCCCTCCCGGGTGTCTGTCCTCCTCTTGAGCCTCCTCCGAAGTTCCCACCCATCCCTCCTTCTCTTGTTGTTACGGCGCAGGACGCACCTTCTGGGAGGGGGGTGTAATGTCACGCCCCTGGACTGTCTTTGTTTTGTTTTCCCTCCCCATGTGCGCCATGACCCAGTTTCTCCCTCGTGTTGATTGTTCATGGATTTCAGGGTTGTCTTGTCATTAGCCCCTCATTTTCCTGTGTATTTAAGCCCCAGTCTGTTCAGTCTGTGTTTGTCGAGTCTACTTGTTGGATTATGTGTGTTTACCCCTGTTCCTGTTGTGGATTTACCCCTGCGATTCTCTAATTAAATACCGTTCATGTAATCCACGTCTCCATCGTTCCTTCCAGCAGCGAATAGTGACAGATTCTACACCTTGTCAGTGATCCCAAGGGTCATTTTCTTTCGTTAGTGGTTTCACTTGGTCAGACAATCTGTTTTATTAAATGTGTATATGTACAATTCTTCTAAAGAAAATACCACTTTAATGGATGTGATCGGTGAAAATGTATAAAACTGATAGTTCCAGTCCTTGATTCTGATTGGTTGAGCCAAGTTCAAAGCTGTTGTAAATTACTCTACAAACATACACCTTAGTTTACATTTGTGTGTTGCTCGGCAATCACTTTGTTGAAACCACAACCATTTCTGAGGAGCTACATTGTTTGGCGGAAGAATAATGTTTTTATTAATATCATTTCACTTTATTTGCTCTGTTTTATTTTCTGAAACCTTACTACATATATGGAATAACCGCTTTATAAAAGCAATAAGCCCCGTTAAACTGTGATTTACAGTGAATTTATAACAGCTAAGGGGTGTTGTTAGGCACGACGCAAAGCGGAGAAATACATTTACTGTAAACCACGGCTTCTTGGGGCTTATTGCTTTAATATAGTACTGGTTAAATAAATACCCCAATGCTGTTCTTATTTTAGGTGAGGGTTTCAATATGGTTTTAAATAGTGATTTGGATAGGTTTCCCCGTAGAGCTGCTTCTATAAGTCCAATTACGAATCATTTCATGTTGCGTTTTTGTGTTGTTGATATATGGAGAGAAATATATCCACAGCAGAGACTCTACACGTGGAACAGCAAGGACCGTTCCAAGTAGTCTTGAATAGATTACTGGCTCATTTCCCAAAGCCTAGCAAATAGTGGGAAATCAGTCAGCATTCATGCTACACCTCTTACAGATCACAGTGCTATCTCTCTCAAGATTTGTCTTTCTGCATCCCTTGATTTCAGCTCATCTCATTCTTATTGGAAATTGAACAATTCTCTTCTCCTTTTTGAAGATGTTAAGAAGAATATTACATTACTGGGTAACACTTTAGAATACTGTCCCATCAATAATGAATAACTTAACAGGAACAAATGACTAATGCACTATTAACATTCTAATAACTAGAGCTCAGTTGAAACTGGTAGTTCACTATTAGCTAATCAATAACTACTTTTTTTTCCATATATCCTGGAGAACTACTGTATGCAGGTTCATAATTAATGTGAATTATGCATATTGTAAAATCAATTCAAAAGTGAATATCATGGTAACCCACTAGTAATGACTCAAGTACTAACAAATCCTTTTAAAGGAACTACTGATCACTTGGATCAGTATTCTAAAGTGAAAAGCATGACAACTCCCTAATATTGGCTGATGTCATTGCAAGCTTTTGAGATATGTGTAAGGTTTTGGATAGTAATGAATTAAGTGTTACTACATCCTTCTGAAGAAATTACTAATTATTTGGATCAGTATTCTAAAGTGAAGATCACGGTAACCCACTAGTAATGATTTAAGTGTTACCAAATCTAGAAAAATGAATTACTAACCAGAACCTTACAAAAACCTCAAAAGTTTACAATGTTTTCAGTAATTACTAGGGAGTTATCATGATCTTCACTTTAGAACAGTGCTTCTCAAAGTCCGACTTCGGTCCGGATCCGGAGGGAATTCAGTCCGGCCCCGCTTCCATTTCATATTTCAAGAGCACTAATTATTTTCTACTTTGATAAATGCATGTTAAACTTGTAAATCGTTTGTTTAGTTTTTTTTTTAATGTCTTTTTGGAGATGGTCCGAAATGAAAGCGAAGGCGAGATATTGAAACCATTCCTTCATGACATTTGTTGTCATGACATCCAGTGAGCTTATGATGTTTGACATAATCAGGCGACATTTCACCGCTAAGATGAGTAATTCTTTTTAATGTTATCACTTAAATTATGACCATTTGACTTATAGCAGTGTCCAGTGTTTCCCATACATTGAGTTATTTGTGGCGGCCCGTCACAATATCAAAATTAACCACAAATAGATTTTCCAAAAGGCTTATACTTTGTTGAATAAACTGAGCACTGCACGTTTTAAAATTAAAATGCAGTGCTGGTGTTTTGATATAAATGTATCATTGAAAAGAACCGACCGTCTTCAAAAAAAATCTTTGATGTCATTTTCATTTAGTCTTTCCTAGCATTTGTTAGCGCAGCGCTTATAGATTATAGCTGTTACCGGGGAAACCACTATATCTCCGCTCCAACAGCGTCTCCTGCTGGCAGAGAATGAATTTGCATTTACAAGTCTGTGGGAAACACTGGTGTCTGTCAGCAAACATAAACAAAAAGCATGCTTCAGAACTGTTTTGAGAAGGTGCTTTGAGCCATGTATTATTACTATGAATTAGGCTACTACTGCTACACTACTATTACCATCTTGTGCCCTGCAATAATCATTTACTCAAACTCGCTTTTATGAGATAAAGGGAAAAAATAAAAAAATTAAATTGGCCAAACATATCGGCCAAAAAAATCAGCATCATATATCGGCCATCGGCTGCCCTGATTTCTAAATATCTGCATCGGCCAGAGAAAAACCCTTATCGGTTGACTATTGCTGACACTTAAATCAATTGTTTTGCCACTTTTGCACTTGTTATTAATGTATTTTGAATGCAAAGGGCACTTTATTTAAAAAAAATATTGTTTATTTGTTATGCATGTTATGTATGTTTATTAAAAACAAGTTTTGTAATAACCAATTGTTCCTGTAATTGGGCGAACGAGACAAGAGACGTACGGATCCATATGCAGAGCTTTATTTAAAGATGTGGTCATGAAACAGGCGAGGGTTAGACAATGGCAAACAGGTATGTTGTAGGCAAGACAAAAGAGTAATCCAAGGACAGGCATGGGTCAAACAACGGCGAACATAATCCAGAGGGCGAAACAAACGGGTAATCCAACAGACAAGCTATATTCCAGGCAAGGTGCAAACATAGTCCAAAACAGCAAGACAAAGGGATAATCCAAGACAGGCTAATAATCAGGAAACAAGACGTGACTAGACTTATGCTGCGTTCAAGTCCTCCTGGGATGTTCGTACTTACGAGTTGACAAGTCGTAATGACGATGTCAGGTGCGTTCAAGTCAGTTTAGTCGGCACAAGATGGCGGTGTACCTTATTTTAATAAATTACAAGAAAATACAACAGGGTATGTTAACTCTGCTTATAGAAAACGAAGAGCAAAGAATTCGCATCAGGTGTGTTTTGCGTTTTTAATATTTAAAAAAAGTAATTTATGAAGCTACTTTAATCTGTATCGCATAAAAACTTATTAATTGTTATATTACAATCCTGCCACATTCAAAAAGCTTATTTTTTGTAAATTAAAAAGCCTGACAATGTCACTGCTTAATACCTATAAGTATTGTGATTTATGTTTTACTTTGGCAATCTCTCTCTCTCCCTCTGTCAGACATGCAGAAAAATTTACCATCAACTACAGACGTTGCATCCATCGATTCCGCCATGTTTCTCATTGAACAAAATATATTTATTCTCAGGTTAGGTAAAGTCAAATCTGTCCTTTCTCATAAGCATCTGTTCATACTGTCAGAAACGAGACCGGGATCCAACAGCAGGTGAAAACAAAATCCAAGTTTATTGAAACTGTGATAACAAAAAAGTAAATAAATCAGCCGGATAGCAAAACCCCAGCAAAAAGTCAGTTCCGATCAGCGTGGAGGTTAGACCAGCCGCGGTCGAGCCCGCGGGGAAGAGAGATCCAACAGCAGGTGAAAACAAAATCCAAGTTTATTGAAAGTGTGATAACAAAAAAGTAAATAAATCAGCCGGATACTCCCGACCAGAGTTCAGAGTTCTAGGGAGGGTAGAAAGAGGAGGGTGACAAACACAGGAACGCCAGACCGACTAGACTAGAAAAAAGAAAAAAATAAAACTGATTCAGACAATCACAGCATGGACAGAGACGATCTAAGCTGCTGCACAACATATTACGGACTGACACAAGATAGCCTTCAAGAGGGCCAGATAAAGGGAAGAATAATGAGGACAAAACGAGGTGCAGGTGAGAAGGGAGAATTAGCTAACAGGGATAACGAGAGGGGCAGCGTGAACACCAGGATGACAGCAGAGCACATGGCAAGCCGTCAAAACAAAAGGCCATGTGCTCCATGATAACAAAGCCCAAGTAGACCCCACCGAAATTGTGACACATACTTACAAAACAGGTCACAGAAGACTTCTCTGTGGTCTGTTCTGACTTAGCTATAAATCAATGCAAGGGGAGGCAGATTGTGTTGTATAAATACAAGTCAGTTTATTTATTACAATTAGTAAGTAAGCAGTACAAATATTCTACAACTACATATACATGTATTAAATAAAGTATAAATATAAAAAAATTCAATATTAGCAATGGTTCTGGTGCATGAGGTTCTTCAGGTGGTCCCGAAGCAGCATCTGATTTAATCATCACACTTCAGTCTTTTATAGACAGCACAGCAGGTGGATTCCAATACCTTGTGACGTCATGAGGTCTGGAAATTCCCTTATATAAAGCCTTACATTTTTCTTCTTCAGTATTCTTTGCTCTGCTGTCTTTTATGCTTCGTCTGAAACACACCAGCTGAGGTAATGCCCACCTTCTTTTTTCTTCAAAGCTCTTGCTAATACATGTGTCATCTCTAGCTGTGCTCTTGCTTATACATGTTATAAACATTTTCTTAATAAATGCTTAAAACAATAAGTGTGGTGTTTTACTTAATAAACCACTTTCTCAATAAAACAAATACAATAACATGTGTGGTGTCTTTCTTAATAAGTCACTTTCTTAATAAATCAAATACAATATAATGTGTGGTGTCTTTCTTAATAAATAAATTTCTTAATAAATCAAATACATTATCATGTGTGGTGTCTTTTTTAATAAACCACTTTCTTAATGAATCAAATACAATATAATGTGCGGTGTCTTTCTTAAACCACTTTCTTTTTTTTTTATGATCAACATTTTTACTCAGATTTAGTTTCACATCAGAAACATATATCACAATTCACAGCTCAAAAGAACTATGTACAATCAGACGCCATGAAGCCATCCACTTGTACCAAAGGAGCGGAAGAAAAATAAAAGAAATAAAAGTCAGAAAAGCATAGTAGGGATGTCAACATTTCAGCCTATCTAGCAACATCACAGCAATATTTGTCCAACTCCGAATAGTGTTGTCCTTTGAGCCGTTGAGCCTGGCAGTGGTACCTTCCAGCAAGACAATGTCTCTGAAGTATGATAGCCAAGTAAAAGTTGTCGGAGTGGATGGTTCTATCCATATCTACAGGTGCATCTCAATAAATTAGAATGTCATGGAAAAGTTCATTTATTTCAGTAATTCAACTCAAATTGTGAAACTTGTGTATTAAATAAATTCAATGCACACAGACTGAAGTAGTTTAAGTCTTTGGTTCTTTTAATTGTGATGATTTTGGCTCACATTTAACAAAAACCCACCAATTCACTATCTCAACAAATTAGAATACTTCATAAGACCAATAAAAAAAAACATTTTTAGTGAATTGTTGGCCTTCTGGAAAGTATGTTCATTTACTGTACATGTACTCAATACTTGGTAGGGGCTCCTTTTGCTTTAATTACTGCCTCAATTCGGCATGGCATGGAG